ACTACTTTTTAGGTATGTGTAAACTCGACCCAATCTATGACTGTAACTCAACACAAAACAAACTAACCTAACCAAGTAAGTTATTTTACACTTTTTAACACCACCATTTTAAAATTTATTATATCACTGAAGTATTAACCACTTTTAGAAACTATGGCAAATATGAAATGTTCACAGCAGAACAAATCACAAGGAAAGGATATATAAACAAACAATGTATACTTTTTTGTCTATAACATTGTTTAATACACCCACTCAGTAATATTTCACCAGGTTTCTTACTTAGAAATTGCATTGTAAGATAGTCCCTATTTTAAAAGACAGCTATAAATTTCAATTTAGAAACAGTATAAGTTTATCTAACCATAATACAACTTACAAAAAAATAGAACTCTGATGATTAAAAAGCTAGCAACAGGTATTGTCAAAAGGAAAACTCACAAGTTCTTCAAAAGCAGACAATAACCACTACAACAAAATAAACACGATAAAGAAGAAGCAAATAAACAAAACACTTCCAAAAAAAAAGCAATGTGCTTTAGAGGGGTAAATACCTTGTTTTAGTTTAACATAAGCAGCTAAAATGAGCATGTGTTCTTCGTATTGTGTGCACCTGGTAAGGCTGTGATACAGTAGCACACACAAATACTAGTGGTCATTTCATTATTTACCATCCATTATTTTCCTTACACAGTACCTTGTAAGAAAGGAGGACACCTCATTTCTTAGGAAACTGATGGGTTTCACTATCATCTTGGAGTAAATTAATTTTGTCCATGTAAATGTACAGACATGTCTTATTTTTACATTACAGATAACTCTGAAAGCACATTTTAGTAGCTCATTTTTCATTCCCTATTTTTGATGACATCCTTTAATTTATTTTAGGTAAGATATGTTTGTAAGAAACCCACACACCCACATGCATGGTACAGAATTTCGTGGCTCCTATGACAATAGCAAAAAATAAAAAGCAAATTGAAAAAATAATTGTGTTAACCACGCCAAGATTTTGAAAGGGTATTTTGATTTAAAAATTCATACTATAAATGCAACCATTTTATGACAAAATTTTCATTATGCATGATTGCATTCTCCTTTTGTTTTACTGTTCATTTATGTTAAGATTCCAAGTAATAAAGCTATTTGCAAACTGTGAATTTCCTGTGTATTCTACTTTCTTTAGTAACATAGCATCTAAATATGTATTTTCATATATTGTATAAACCATAAATTGAGGTTGGTTGTATTCTTGTTTTCTTGTTAACAACACTCAAATATGTCCTCACTTTCTAATCTCTTTTTTAAAAGGACAAATTATAGGCATTTACTTAGGAAAAATAAAAAGACTTAAAGATTTGGAAAGTATCTTTAGTTCTAACATGATCTATTTAGAGCACTTAGATTCAAGGACACATTTTTTTGAGATTTGGACCTGTTGACCTTTCTTATTTCACTACAATTCAAGGGCATTGATGAGCACCAATGGCCCAGACAACATTCTATCAAGATTTGAGAACTTAAGAAGATACAGAAAATCCAGACTTTGCTTCTTAAACACAATCAAGTGAAGATGTGTGTTGAATAGTTATTATCAGGTAGAAACAAGAACAATAAGTTATCAAATGCCACTGAAGGATATTACTTTTAATTCTATACAATGAAGGGAGGCTTGTGAGAGGAGATGGCATTTCCTCAGAGCTTTCAGACATGGAAATATTTTCAACAGGTGAATTTAGAAGTGAGCAAAGATTACCAGCACACAGTATAAACACACACACACATGAACAGTACAGGGATTTGGAAGCATATGGTTACTTCAAGTGATACTAAATTGAATTTTGAATCTATGGAAGTAGGGGATGCGTAGAGGGAAATGAAGCTGCAAATGTAGGATAGAGTCACAGCACCCTCTACCATCACTAGTAGCCATCTTGCAAACGTTGTCCTTCATACAAGAGCAAGTCAACGAATACAAAAATCACTCTTCTATAGGAGGAGTTTTGGGGGTGGGAATGTGTGGTAGAGCTTCAACTCAACACACTTAGCAAGAAATAAATTGCTACCTAATGGAGTATTAAACAGGAAACAAATCCCTATATTTGAGAGATGTTTGCTACCCTTCTCCAAAGCACAAAATGTGGATCCATTCTTTGTTCTTTTTGCAAACATGTCACCATGTATTCTACTTGACAGTGTGCTTCAGATTTCTATACTTCTTTTGATTCTCCAAATGGGCTAAGATTTTTCCCACTGCAGGTCTTTGCACACACCTTTCCCTTCCTACCTGCTCTTAAACCTTTCTGTATGCTTCTCCGATGCCACTCCTCCACCTGTGGATGTCAGTGTGGATCTCCCTGACTCCATCTCCTTAGAACCCTCTCCACACCAAGCTCTGAACTTTGCTGCGCTCTGCCTTTACAAGTCTACAGAACTTTAAATTTGGTAATTTCTTACTGGTTTCCTTCCTGTGTCCAGTGACTTTCTGCTCCATGTTTGTGGGCTCCATGACAGGAGGAACTTCACTGTGATAAGAAGTTCTGTTCACCAATCTAAAAATTGCAGGAGGTCATGACACATTGCTAATTTTCAATACTTATTTGTCAAATTAATGATTTTCAAATATAAAGATATATAAAGGTTATTGACAATTCAGATCTTAAAAGTTTCCTGGAGGCAGCTCCAATGCAAAGAGTGTAAGAAAAAGGTAAATATGTGTTATATCACCCTCAAAAATTATTTAATAAAATAATTATATATAATTATATATAATAATAAAGAGCATATTAGATGTTTATACATAATTTACATAATATGCTTTAATATTTGTTTTGCTTAAAATTAATAATACTAATAAGTGAATTCCTTTATGATACTCAAGAGCTGTATCTATATTTTTCTTCACTAAGGGACACATTTTCCTAAATGAAGAAATATGAAAAAATTCTGATGAAATTTCCTTCTCACCTACTTTCTCTTCTATTTTCCCACCAAAAACAAGGTAGGAAAATGACTCCAAATATAGTTTTCTTACAGACCACTGAGGCATGTGTATCATCTCCAATTCATGAATATCAAGAAAGCAGTCAAGGCTGAAAGCAGAGAAATTGACCATTAGGCAGCTTAGCTATTTTTTTATACTATAAAAAGTAAAACCCTCTTAAAATTTATTAGGTGTAAAACAAATCCTCCTTCTTCACCCAAAATGGCACACGAGATTGATTGTCCATATTTGTAAAATACTCTTCTTTTATAGGTTTAAAGAATATACACAATCACTTTTACTCATTGCTTCACTAAAATAAGCCTATTTAGAAGAGAATAAATTAATTTAATTTTAAAAGAATTCAAAATCAGAGATCTCTGTGTTGAAAACTAGCTTAAAAGATGATCTGTTTGATGAAAGATGGGGAGAAGCAAATGACTTCAGTCATGATAATGGGACACTCAGTGTGTATTATCATGTACATTACATGATCAGAGCAGTCCACATATTCTCATAATACAAGGTGTGCTGGCAAAACTCTAGGCCAAAGTGAAAAATATAAAGTCATTTTTCTTAATAGCTTGTACACTAGTTTGAAAAATCCTGTCCCCACATTCTGCATCCAAAAGTTTCTCCTGTTACATTTATATAATTTTATTTTCCTTAGAATGTTCACTCTGAGATTTCTCAGATGTTGCCTTTTAAGCTTGATAATAAGAGCAAGGTATCTCTAATATCTTATTGTAACCATGAGCTATTGTCCTTTTTAAATATTTAGGGTTAGTCTTTTAAAACATGAGGATTGACACTTCCGATCATAAATTTGTAAATGTACACACACACTCCACACAGAAACACACCCTTCGCATATGCTTCTTTAGAACAACAGGGCATTTAAAACAAACACAGCTGGGTACGACAATATAATGTGCTGGGCAAACATATACTCCCATTAACATAAATATGTTCTTTTCTGTTTCCTGCCAAGCACACTTTGGTTATGAAAAGCAATCAGTCCCCTTTTCTGTTTTAGAACACCTCCTCTCCTAAAAACCACCACCCATAGCAAGTAGATGGGGAGAGAAGCAGAGAGAGAGGGACACCGTGGCTGAGCTCCATCTCCTGAGTGAGCTGCCTTCTCAGACCCTGACATTTTAGAGGCAGGGAAAGAAGGTCGGTCGCGTGGGCTCTAGTTGTTTCTAATAATAGTAATAATAATAACAATAATAATAATAATCCAGTCATCTTTATGTAGCAACTACTTGCTTTAGTTCAGGCAATTCATTGGTTTTCAACTAAAACTGACACATTTTAGAGATTTATATTTCTCCCATTTGCCTCCCCATTCAGGCTTATTCTTCTTGGGACTCACTATGTCCCTGTCCCCATCCCAAGATTTGGCTGAGGGTCTTCAGAGCGCTCAGTGCTGCCCGCTAACCAGCTTTCTAGTAAATTACACTCTAACTAGTCCTTAGTTTACACACCCCTGTCTTTCACTTCTCATACCATCCCGGGCTGGGGATCAGGGCATTTCGCCAAGGTCTGTGAACCAAGGAGGTTTTAGGAGATCAGAGAGGCCAAGGAAAGCAAGACACAGACATCCCTGACACCTCAAATCAGACAGGGAGCAGTGAGCACGACCCCAGGCTTGCAGGAAGGAAGCCTCTCCGCCAGCGTTGTAGGGCCAGGCTCTGTGCTCCTGGGACCCTACAAGTCTCAGTGTAGAAACAGCTTTGCTAGAGCCCCAAGCGACACCGAGGGCAAGAGCCGACCAGCGAGGAGCCGGCCAACTTGCGGGCTCTTGGCGGGCTGAGTTCCCAGCGGCTACAGGTTGCTGGAGAGAGATTCCCAGCTCCCGGTGGAAGGCGCTGGGGCGCTCAGGAGGGAGACTAGGGGGTTGGGGTGGGATGGACAGAAAGGCGAGGAGGGCAGGAGGGAGGGGACCCGAGTCAGCTCCATCAGGCCGGGAACCGGGAAATCCGCGGAGCACCTTCCCACAGTGACCCACACAGACCTTGGCGCCGCAACCTGCGCTTCTTGAGGCCGAAGATGCGCACTTTGGAGAAGATATCCACCAGGTTGCCGTTGCAGAGCCCGCGATTCTTGCTGGGGCTGCTCCGCCTCCTGCTGGCAGACGGCCGGTCCCAGTGCTGCTCCCGCGCCTGCCGCTTCTGGCGGATCAAGCCGCTAGCGATGGCCGCGGCCATGGTGGCCCAGGGAATGGGTCCGGGGGAGGGAGGGGACAGAAGGAAGGGGAGCTGGGGGGCACCAGAAAAGGAAGGGGCGGCGCAGACCGCCGCTCGCCCTGGGGGGAGCGGAGGGAGGGGCGGTCTGGCGAGGTGGGGAGGGAGGGGAGGACGCTCAGTCCCGCCTAGGACCCATCGCCCTGTCGGTCGCCGAGCGCGGGGCCAGGCGCGCAGATGCGCCCGGGGCGCAGCCGGCCAAACCCGGGGAGCTGGAGGTCGTGGCCGCCGCCGCCCGGTCGCGTCGGAGTGGAGAGCGGGAGGGCAGCTGCAGGCGCTGCTGGTCACCCTGCGTCTCTGAAGCCCTCTCAAGGGTCGCCACCGCCACAAGCTCTGCCTTCTTGTCCGGCCGGCTTCCCAGGAGGGAGGTAGAGCCGGCTGCTTCCTTCCTGGGCACTGGATGGAGAGCAGGTCCCGGTAGTGCCTCTCTGCGCGTCTGTCGGTCCCAGGCGCGGTGGGCAGGTCTCAGCGCCGGGCTTGAGCTGCCCCCGGGCAGGTGCCGCCGCTGCCGCCCGCTCTCGGCTTCTGCCCGTGATTGTCAAGTGCTTTGGAAATCAGCATCTGGAGAGAGCAATCTTTCCCCCGAGATCTCTAATCAAAGCGCTCCGTTCCCACCCCACTACACCCCCACCACCTAGGTGGTCCCCTCCTATGTATCTCTTCAGAAAGAAAGTATATATAACAATGACTTCAAATAATAATAATAATGATAAACCTAAAACGGATTGCAGGGGGTGGGGTGCCAAGAGGCTGAGCAGCGGGTGGATTGAAGGAATAGCTATGCGTTTTTCTTAGAAGACACTCTCTGGTTTCCCAGGCTGCCGCGGCATAGCTGGGGCTTCTCGGTCTTAACGTGGTTCCTGGTCCACGGAAACTCTACGCAGCAGTTGGAGGGGAAGGTGCTTTCTGCTCTCAGGCTAGTCCTTTTCCACCAAAGCCCCCCTAACCCCAAGAGGAGGCAGAAGGAGAGTGTCCGGAGGAAGGAGATGTCTCCACTCCTCATCTAGTCCACTCAAACTTGCTGGACTCTCCCTTCTGTTGTCTGGAAGGGTAGGCTTCTCATCTTTGAACCGGCAACAAGGAGCCAAAAGAAGCAAGCGGGGGGAAGAAAGATGTTATGCTATGATATTGAAATGCCCATTCCCAAATCTGCTCCACAGCACTTGGAAGAGATGACAGCCACTGCAGCAGTACAAAACAGCCAGCGGCTAGATAGGACAACCAGCAGGAGAATATTGAAGAAGTCAGTGCAGAATTATCAGGGATGGTGGGTGGGAGAAAGGGTGTCACAGTATTCTAATGACAGCAAAAAGCAGCTAGACTGAGGACAACTCCAAAGTGAGCTGCTTTCTTTTGGCGTCCCTGGTTAGAAAAGCTCTGTCAGGGAGCAAAGCCACATGGACTGTATCTGAAATTTAAACATAACAGCTACTGCCTCCTCCCTTCAGTTTACTCACTATGACCTGACAGTGTTGTCTCTTGGGTAGCTGAAAAATTTGAAGGTCCAAGGAGGAAAAGAGAGAGTGGAGGGAACCTGGAAAAAAAAAGAGGTTGGGAGAGAAGCATTTCATGCTTGGATGAATACAACCCATCGTATCTAGGATACGCCGAGTGACAGAACCAAGTGTAGGTTTTGCTGAAGGCTTCCTACTTTTTTCTCTCCCCTGTATTCTGTTTTGCCTGTCCTCACAAGAAGGCAAAGGAAAAGGAATGCAAAAAATGGACATCTCACAAACCAGTGAAGGCAGAGATAGAAAACTCATTTGGTAACTGAGAGGTTTGTTAAAGTCTTCACCCGTTACTGCTGTAAACTAGAAGGGAAGCTGTACTGTGCTGGCAGCCATGGGAGACTTCTGAACCCAAACAGACTTTCTCTTTGTCTCGGGAATAGAATAAACAGGAAGTACCACAAAGACTCTCCACTAAGCAGGTGGGACAAGTGCAGTCCAGGGCTGATTACAGGGAGGCTGGACACCTGCTCTACATAACTTATTCACTACCTCTCCAAGTAAGCTGTACTGCTTTGCTAGGTTGCTATTCATTACACCCACTCCGTATTTACTAACAAGTCTCTTTGGGGCAGAGAATTTAATTTAATGGGAGTGTGAAGATTTGGAACTAATGCAGATAAGATTGGCTTTATGGTGAGGTATACCATATTTAATATTAAAAAACATACTTTGTAAGTTTATTTTCACCACTTTGCTGTTACATCTACACAATCCTACAGTTATTAAGAGAAATGTGCCAGAGTTATTTTGCCCAAAATTTACTCCCTAATCACCTATGATTAGTAAAAGTGAGGCAAAGGGCACGCTAGCTTTACCACTTTCTGTTTCATAGTTCTTCTTTTTTAGTGGTACTGGGGTTTGATTTCAGGGCCTTGTGCTTGCTAGGCAGATGCTACCACTTGATCCACTCTGCTAGCCCTCTGTTACATATTTCTTTGTTCTTCCCTTTTATATTTTGTTTTGGATTTTTCTGACACAGTCTTTCTATGGCAGCCCAGGCTGGCCTCAAACTCCAGATCCTCCTGCCTCAGCCTCTTAAGTGCTGGGATTACAAGTGTGCACTGCCATGCCTGGCTTGTCCTTCCATTTTTAGTAAGTGTATATTCATGTTGTGTTGCCATGCTCCTGCCTAAAAAGGAAAGGCCATCTATAGAGAGATGCACATGTCTACTGACATCTATCTGCTTTTTCCTAATTCACTGGAAAAAAAGTTGTACTGGACACTCCTAAATCCTGGCTTTCATTGTTAAAGAGAAGACATTTGGACAATTCAAAAGTTCTAGTTTGGAATTTCAGAATGATTTGCTGATTAAAACAAACAGGTTTGTCTAAAGCTTTTGGTAGTGATTGTTTTCAAAGAAATAAATGTTAAGTACCAGTAACCACAACTCCACCAATCAACACATCTAGTTTGTTCTGAAGATTTTAAAGGTTTTTTGTTATGTAGCAACTATATTAATTTGAAGAGTGAGATTAAGCTTCTTGTTATTATAACTGTGTTAATTGTTTTCTTTCTAGGCATTTGCTTACACTGCAGTCGTTCTCCCAAATCTTTGAATTGGGGTATTAAGTAGGGAGGTCACTTTGTGGCTTCTTCAGGCCCCTCCTTTCTTGGATTGGTGACCTTACAGGAATGTAGCACCGCGGACAGCGACCTGCCCCAAGGCAGCTCTGAGAGCACAGTCCAGGGTCTCTTGACACTCACCTTCCTTAAAAGCAGGTGTTTTTTTTTTTTTTTTCGCTCCTTTTTTTTCCCCCTCCGGATGGAAAGGAAATTAATCCTCACAGCTTCTACTGAACATTAACACACCTTGGAGCTCCAGCTTTTCTGCTTTTCGATAAACGAGAAATACTCCGCTTCTTTCCTTGATGCCTTCTGACCCCTGGCGCAGTGCCTGGAGCTGACTCCCCAGTCTCTGGATGTCGATTCAGACTCTGAATTTCACAGACCTCAAGCGGTCGTTTTTACTGTATGTGGTTTCTTATTTTAAGGAAGCTTGGAAAAGGGATAACCGAGATCTTTTAGCTTAATTCCTGCGTTTTTCCTTTTACCTCCCTCAAACACTGTTTAGTTGTTTACAGAGATAAGTGAAAGAAAATGCAAGAGAGCCATCTGCTGTCTTAATCTGTGATAAAAGAGAGTGCAGAACTAGAGTGAAACCCGATTCAGAGCCGGTGAACACAAGTCCAAACGTTACTATAATGCACAAAAGAACTTCTTACTCATGAGGTCTCCTCAGTGTTGTTCATTTCACCATGGACTTTATAGAGACATAAGAAGGAGGAAGGGGGGGAGAGAGAGAGAGAAGAAGAAGAAGAAGAAGAAGAAGAAGAAGAAGAAGAGAGGAGGAGGAGGGAGGAGGAGGAGGAGGAGGAGGAGGAGAAAGGAGGAGGAAGAAAGGGAGGGAGGGAGGGAGGAAAAGAAAGAATTGACCAGGCTGACCAGGTAGTGTAGTTCCTGACCAAGCTGTTAGATGTCTGAATTCTGATTTCAGACTCTCTTGGTTGACTTCTTGACTGTGCAACTTCCTGGTTGCTTTAGTTTCTCTTAGATTCAATCTCTCCATTTCTTAAATAAGAGATAACAGAGTCTGTTCAATTCTGGTGACTATAAAGATGCTAGTACAGGGCTAGGCCATCCTAAGTGTCAACAAATGTCAGCCATCCTTATTACCTCGTACATGGTCTTCTTTTCCAACCTCCATGATTTTTCAGTATCAAAATATATGTATCCCCATGTACATACCCTCACCCCACAATATAACAAGATGTTAAATAGAAGCAAAAGAAATTAAGTTTTAGTGAAAGAAGTCCAAGTCTAAACAAGTCAAAACATTACCCTACCTCTCAGGAATTGTTAGAAGTGCCTATGGGAAATATTTCTAAAAGTACAATGTGCCATAACAGCATGAGCTCAGGACTGGAGGCATGGGCTCTACATCCAAGAAGCCACAAAAAAAAGTTCTTTGGACAGCAATTAGTCTACTACCTCATTACTTCATGGTGCTTGAAGATTTCCAAAACATGCGATTGTCTCATTGGACTTCCAACTTTGCTTATATTGTTTCCTCAGTCTGGAACAATTACACCGCCCCTTTCTCCCACTTATTTTTATAATTTAAAGCAGTAGCTAAATCCATACTTGGAGTAAGAGTAACAGAAGTTTGACTATGTATGGCTAAGCCTCAGTTTCTTCCTCTATAAAATTATCATAATACAACAAGATTACTATGAGAAGCAAATGAGAAACTTTATATTAAATACTTCAAGCACACAACTGAAATTCAATAGATAGTAAATATTAGTAGTCACTGAACTTATACCACTTACATTCATTTAGTCAATGATCATGTTGTCTATATGTCAAAAATAGTAGTAGATGAGCCAAGAGATTTTTAAATTAAAAAAATTCAAGTGAAGAGAGTTGTGGGCTCTGCCCCCATGAAGTTTACAGCCTGGCTTAGTTTACAGCATTAATATCTCTGGAAAGCCTTTTCAGTACTCACCCCATCACCATCTTAAACTAATGTCCAATCCAGTGTCCCTTCTAAATACATTCACAATATCTACATTAACACTATTTGTTAATTGAGTGAGAAAGCTAGACTGACATCCCTACAAAGATGTACAATTGCTTTCTCCGAGTTAACAACACCAAGACTTAACTACTTTTCTTCCTTTTTAAACATGCACTCTAGTCTTTCTCATCTCTGGAATGACAACTCCATTCTTTTTTCTTCCTCAGGTCAAAAACTTTGATATCTTGCTAGTATCTTTCTTTCTTTAATACCCCACATCTTCTGGTACAAGGTCTATTCAACTTATTTTCAAAATATATCCAA